CCTCCACACAGCGACTTGGCGAGGGAGGGAGGGAAGCCGGAAGGAAGGAAGGAAGTCGGGCGGGGGCACGCCCTGCCCCCTCGCCCCGCCCCTGGCTGCGCAGCCGCCCCGCCTCCCCCGGCCTCTGGTCGTCCCCAGGACGGGTCCAGGGTAGAGAAAACCCTCGAGTCCCTCCGCCAGCACGTTCCTTACAAACAGGAGGGAACTCAGCTTCCTTAACCGAAAGATGGGACCGAGCCCAGGCGACCTCTCGTGCTGGGTCAGGGGCCGGGGGCCTGGGGACAGGTGAGGGCTTCCCTGAACCCCTCAGCGCCTGCCTGGACACCCAGCTCTGCGACCTTAATGTCCGCCACTTGATGGCAGCAGACGCCCAGGCACCCAGACGCCCCAGCCGGGGACCCACTTCTCTGCCACACGCTGGGCCGCGGGGCGACCCCCACCAGACGTCACTCCAGGGCTCCAGGACCCCTTGGCAGTTCCTGCTCCCCCCAGCCCTAGGGCTGCCCCTCCTGCAGGGCTGCCAGCTGTTCCTGCCGGTCACCTGGCCCCTCTTCCGGTCAGCGTCCTGCTCCCTCCAGAACTCGGCCGTGGGGCCGCTCCTGAGCCCATGCCCCCCATCCTCCCAGCTGCCCTGGTCTGGGATTGGGTCCCTTGCAAACCTCAAGAGCATGCACAGCCTCCTTCGCCCAGCATTCCCGGGTGCCTGCCGGTGCCCAGGACTGCTCTAGCTGCTGGTGGCCCCAGCAGAAGGAAACAGGTTGCTGCCCCCACAGTCCCCTCGCGAAGAAGCAAAGACACTGACCTGGAGGATGCTGGCAAGGGAAGGCCAGGCGTGGGGCTCCCAGTCCTGTGTCTGGCAGGCGCGGGTGTGGTTGGCCCGAGGCTACCACTTGGCCCATGTCTGAGGCTCCTGCCAGTCCCAGATAGCCCTGGCTGCAGCCTTCAGGCTTTCCTGGAAGTGTCACCAAACTTCCCAAGGGGACCTTGGGGACTTCCGGAAGGACCAGGGTCAGCCTTCAGAGTCAGGAGGAAGGCCTTGGTGCCCGGAGTGCTAGCTCTGTGCTCAGGGCCGGTAGGGGGAGGTGGGGTCTGTGACCTCGCCTCTTGCCCCTCCTCCTTCCCCCGGATCTCCCACCCAGAGATCCGCCATTGGACCCAAGGGCCTCTGCCGCTCCT